ACGTTTTGAAACCAACCATAAAAAGTGAAATTATGGCTTCATAGTAACCTACATAATTCATTCAAAATCGACATCTTTATATATAAAGTAGTAATTAATCTCCTTTAAATTACTATTTCTTAAAAGTAGACATTGTAACGGAGTTCAAAGTGCGTATTTTTAACAAAGAATGTCAGATCATGGTTGGAATCAATTATTTCTGTATATGGGAACTCTGTTGGGTGTTTACATAAACTAAAACTCCTTTTTTGTAAAATTCACAAACGAATGTAACAGATTCTTTAAGAATTGATATTTGTGCTTTTATGAATAGTTAAAATGTATTTATATGTTTGTATTTTTTGTGAACATCCTGTGAGCACTGTGTATTTTTAAGTATAGACTCAAGGTTAAAGCTACGCCTTAAACCTAACGTTGAAATCTTGGAAAGATGATATCATCAGTTGCAGCCGTCCCTTGCCCAGCTCCAGAGTTCACAAATCAACTCTGTACCAACAAAAAAGGGCATTTTATTGATATTCTAAAATCAGAATAGAATTATCATTTTCGGACCAAGTCCTGAACCAGAAAGTTCGTCTACACCTGCAGCTTCAAACAGATCCCTACAGAAGCAGCCGTCTACAGTTCTGCTACAGACAGCTCCTTGAGCTGATGTTCTGAAGATTCGTCAATATCAGCAGTTGAGAAGCTCCCTAAATCCTCCCACAGAAACCAACTACATAGTAATAACGCTCCCATATATTATATATATATATATATTCCGTAACAAGTTTTTACCAATAAACATTTTTCAACCCCCACCACGTATCATTTAATTAGACCTAAGGTTTAATTAAGAAGCGGGCCGCCTAAAACAAGTTCCACAAGATTCACCGGAATGAGATAGAACGGATACGGGGCATTGTACTTTCAGTCTAACACGTGTGATCTTGATACACATTTTCTGAACCCTCTAGTAAAAGTTATAAGAAATATATATACTGGAAGTTACTTTATGCGTTTCATTAGAGATCGACCTCAAGTCCTCTATATTATAACATATAAGCATTAAAAAAATCCTTTTATTTTATACTATAATACTACACTTTCTGTTCTTTGAGACATATAAATAAATCTAAAAATCAAATGAAAAACGTGAAGCTTATATTATTACTTAATTAGATATTCTGAGTAACTTTCATAATTAATCTTAAATATTATAATTAGGTAGTCAACACTATATCTATCAAAAAGCCAAAATCGTAATGCAAAATAGTTATTAAAAAATGTGGCGAATGGTAAAAATAAATAGATCTAGACTACTATGAAAAGTTGTATTAATTTTCATGATTGGATTGACTTTGAAGTGTCACAACATCTTGGCCTTAGATTTCATCTCACCAACCTAATTATACTTTTTCTTGTAGCGCTGAAATGTATATTTCACAACCATATGAAGCTCTTTTTTACGAGAGCTTGGAACCTTTGAATCACAGTGAGGAGCTTAAATCAAATCATATGTGTTTCCTACATTATTGTTAACATTTACATAATTATCATTAAATCGAAGCAGGTCCTCACATGACCAGGTCAATCGAAAATTAAAAAAAATTATCAAAAAAGAAAAATCTTCGAAATATGTTGGTATTATGATTAACTAGCTGAAGCCTTTTGGCCAGTTATAGCTTACATACATACAAATCTATGCATATACATGTATGGGCGAAGAGCTTTATTATTTAGATTATTTGTTTAAACCTTTATGACAGAAACAATATCAAGAACTGACGAGGGTCAACCCTGGAAATATATTTTCAATAAAATGTGGAACTAACATATACCTTAACTACTCCATGAGGTTTGGTCCACCATCATCACTGAATTTTAAAGTTGTATCATATACATAGATAGATAGATATTAAAGGAATTGGTATAAAAGGGGTTGAGAATAGGGATGTTAACGTTTTCATTTTTTTGAAAAACAATCGTTTTTTTCGTTTTCCTATAGTTTTTTGTTTCGATTTCCATTCGTTTTAAAAACTATCGTTTTTTAAAAAAGTTTTTTAAAACGATTGTTTTTAAAAAGATAGGAAAACGAAACAAAAAACAATAGGAAAACGAAAAAAACGATCGTTTAACGATCGTTTTCAAAAACGATTAACAACCCTAGTTGCGAAGCGCACTAAGAGCCTAATATAAGCTTATTATGTGAGAACTGTTTTCCTATTCAAACTTTGTTCTAATCTTCCCAACCTTCCACTTATGCTTCTTTCAAACTTTAAACTTTAGAGTTTGTTTTGCAATTTAGGATAATATGCATTATTATTTATGCAAAAAAAGTTTGCAAAGAAAAGAATGAAGGCCTGCTAAGTATGTCTTTTGTTTTCTCTTGTTTTTGTTTACAGCAAATATTTTTTTTGTTAAAAATGGGGCATGCGAGATTTTTTTTGGAAAAACAAGATCTGTCTTCAATCAAATTTTTTATTGAATACTCCAAATTATAGCCTATAATTAACTTGCAATGAGTAATATTGTCTTTATAATTTAATATTTCTGTAATGCACTTTTTTATCCCAAATTCTCTTGAATCGAATATTTGTTTTAATAATTCATAGATTAATAATATTAATTTGAATATGGTGATAGGCGATTATACCAATATAATGAAGATGTAGCAGCAATAATTTGAGTCTCAATGAAAGTTAAGAATGCTCGAGAATTATGAAAAAAATCCGGGAACAGGAAAACTGGAATCAGGAACCAGTCAGTCTTCTTCCTCAAACACGAGAACACGTACTCGAGGATATTAATATATGTTTATTTACCTATTTAGAATAAACCACATATGTATACTTGTTCTTCCTCTAAAACGACAACTTTTTATCTAAGTTTTGATTGTTAACAAGCTTTTGTCGAATTACAAGTTTACAGTTAATTTAATAAAAGTTTTTTTAATTGACAGATTCTCTTTATTTCTATGTTTATGTGTACCCATGCTGTTCGAAAGCCTTTTATAAATCAAAAGTCGTCTTCATTATATTGATATAATTGTCTGCCACCCTAGCATAACTCAGAATGTGCGCCTCTTGATTTTTAAATTTTTTTAAATTTTTAATTTTTAATTTAAATTTAACATTGGTAAGAGCGGTTATCCCGACAATATGCTATATATGGTTAAAATTAGTTTAAGGAATTAAGTATTTTTCACAAATTCAAATTTTCTAATCTTTACATCTTTGCAGCATGATGGTCTAACTCTAAACCTTTGATATTTCAAACTAAGCTTAATTGATCTTACAGAATTTTTAAAGATCTGAGGTTTTTCACATTGGGGTTTAAAGATATGGGGATTGAAAATTCAGAGTTTGTGACAAAGGCTCAATTCTTTTATTAAAATAAAGACAATTGTACGTCTTTGTTCAATTTGATATCTGAATTTTTGTTTTCAAGTTTTGTTTGTAAGATTGATGTTAAGAATTATCTTCTAAGGAGTAAAAACGTTGTGTAAATGGGATATGTTTGGATGTTTAGGACATTAACTGTTTCTTCTAAATATTTGGATGGATTAAGGAAATATGTTTTGCTGAACAACTTTTCTCCTGAGAAAGGTTAAACCAGAAAGATTAATCCCTAGAATTAATCTGACAAGAGATGGTTTCTTCGTTTTAAAGGATTCTGTTCTTTAAGGTTTTTATATTTTTGTGACTTCAAGATTACATGATTAAAGAACTTTTAAAACTTTCATTTTTCTCTTTTGATGATGCACTATAGGACAGATTTAAAGGAAAAGAGACATTTTTCGGGCTATATATGCTGGCATTTTCGACGTTTTTCGTTGATAGTATTGTGACTATTGTAACTGGTGTGAGCTCAATAGCTCTGAATAGGGATAGTTCCATTGATGTAACCCCTTCAGTTCCCATTCGAACCCAGAGCTTAACTCAAATTGGATAGTTCCATTGATGTAACCCCTTCAGACCTCATGCGGACCCGGAGCTAAGCTTGGATTGCAATGTAAGCATGGAGAGAGGTTTACTTGTAAATAAACTGTAGTCAACAATAGTGGTGGGATGGATGATGTCGCCTCATCTATACTGTGTAGAGAGATTTATCTGTTAAAAGATGCCAGCCCAGAAAACATGCTCTAAATGCAAGTTTGAACGCATGGAAAACTAAGGCCACTGTTGGACAAGGAATTCCATTTTAAATTCAAGCCTATAGGCATGAAACACAATTTCACATGAGGGAGGAGTAAAAAGGATCAGCCTGGGCAAAAACCGAAATGAGGTTTAATCATCAGCAAGGGTCGGAAGACGGCAGATTAACTCGTAGTACGAGGCAAATGAAAAGCTGAGAGTCTGCCAGAGAGCTCCGGCTTTCCATGATTCATTAATATCATTTTATTTGTTCATTTTTTCCTATACTCTGTGGATTCACTCATATCTTTCAGGCTTTAGATTTCCTTTATATTATACCACTTTTAAATGGTAATACTATTATTGGAAATGGATGTTACCGGTCTCTTGCCCTTTCGTTTTGTATTTAGTGAATATATGCAGTTGATTTAATCCATTTTATTTGCAATTTTACATTATAACATTATTATTACATTTCCAGCTTCTTGGTCAAATATTGAATTTTAAATGAAAATATGGTATTTAATCAGCAAAAAAATCTGCATGAAGAAAAGGGAAGAAGACCGAAAGAAAACATTTGAAGAAATTGACTTTTTGATTGTTTGCCTTTCCAGCCCCTTAACTCTGCCCTTTACAAAATTGAATATTTTGATATGGAAAAAATCACATACTTTTTTAAATCTATATTTTATCCAGCATTGTAAAGAGGACACATTTGTTCAAAATTCTACGATTAGATTTAAATATCTCCTTTTTTATACCATTATAAGCAGTAGTTAATATGTAACAATAAAATTTCTAAATAAAATTTTTTTATCTTGTGAGAAAGGATTTTTTTTAGAAATATTAAAATCCTTTTTTAGATTGTCACCTAGAATAAATAAATCAGTATTTAAAGGAATGTTATTTAAATTCAGCAAAATACACATTTTGCTGAACAATCATTAAATTAATTATCTCTGCGGATGTATAAGAAAATAGCTCCTGCTACAACAAAAACTGTAAAAATGGATCCTAATACCATCCCAACAATGGCTCCAGGTTTAAGACCATCTTCTTCTGGCAAAGATGGTTGTTCTTGATAATTATAAATTGAAGCAATGTTTGACCAAGCCTCCATATTCCCATTTCTAACAAGAGTTACCAGTCTAAAAAAGTATTGCTGCTCTGGTTCAAGAACATCATCTAGAAGTATGATAACAACATCAGTGCCACCTTCAACCGTCTTTAAAGCATTTGGGTCCAACACTTGGGAAGCAGTTAGATAATCCAAACTGTCCATTATTGTATTGGTTTGGAGGACATCAGTTTTATTTTTAGAATAATAAATCCTAAACTCATCCGCAGTTCCATAATCCAACCTTGCACCTGCTGACGTAAATTGAAGGATTTGGTAGACATTGTCTTTTCCCTGTGATGCTTTCAGGTTAGAAACCTCTCCTGGTGGATAATTTGCTTGGTTGCCATTTTTAACTTCTATTGAACCTCCTGCTGATGATCTTCTAAAGTTTCCCGTTGGTGTCAGGATTGAATCATCTCTGACAGTATTGCTTCCACAGCAAATAGGATTTCCTTCTGATGGTTGGCTTGGTAATGAGCGTGTTGTCTCTCCTTGTCTTGTAACAATGAATCCTTGGTTTATTTGAGAATCATCTGTACCCTCAACCTGGCATTTTAGACTGTACCTTTTATTATCTGCAGTAGTTTGGTCAAAGTTTGCAAAATATCTAGCATAAACACCATCATTAGCAACATTGTCAGGATTAGATCCAGAATCTAAAAGACTAATCTCCAATGGTATGTCCGAATCTTCCCTTTCAATGTAAGCAGTTACTTTTGCTCCTATCACAGGATTCGTTCCCTGTAAAACCCTTGCATTTACAGCAATTTTGGTATTACTAGCCATGTCAGCAATATTGTTCCCAACACTTGTCCAGCAATTTGTCATTATTGGAACAGTGTTACTTCTGGCTTTAGCTGTTATCCTCAAACTTGCATAACCAATATTGTTAGTGTTTCTTGATGTTATTGAGATATTGTATACCCCTTGACTAAGTTCATCAAAGGATAATTCAAAAACTCCTGTATCAGTATCAAACTGATCAGTTGTGTCGTTAAAAGTAATGTCAACTCCAGGGTTATCTGAAAAGTCTATTTGAATTGATACATTTTTTCCTATTGTTTCATCAATGATAAATTCTGCTAGAATAGAGTGGGTATTTTTCTTTGTTTCCTCGAAAACAATTATATCTACTTTGTTGGAAGGAACAGATGGTTGGTATGTAAGAGAACCTTGCATTGCAGTATTGATGACTTCAGGGCCAGAATTGTCCGGAACAAAAAACGCTTTACCATCAGTTTCCTTTGCTAAATTTATTATGTCATTGTCTGCCATATTACTGAAAGCAATTGTTATCACTCTTACTTCTTGGACAGTTATTAAAGGAATTGCTTCAGCTATTGTAGTTCTATCTGGTCCATTACAATCAAACACTCCATCTGTTAGAAATATCATCACGCCTCCTTTTTCAACACCCCCAGTTTTTAAAACTTCTAATCCTTTCTTTAAACCTGCACCAAGGCAAGTACCACCACCAGCTACCAAACCATCCAAAAGTCCAGCTAATGTTGGTCTGCTTCCAGTATTGACCATTGTCATATCTGCAACAATTGAGGCAGTGGTGCTAAACTTTGTTATTCCCAGAGAAACCCCGTCTTCGAGGTCATACTCCAACCACCTCTTTGATGACTGTATAAGTCTGGTTAGACGAGGAAACTCCTGCATCATACTTCCTGAGACATCAAGAACCATGACAAAATTTGATCCAGCTCTTGCCCTTAATATCTCAAATTTTGTTTCTCTACCCTCAATGGTGGTGTTGTTCAAATATCCATTGAAGTCTTCATGTTCCTTTATAACTGTAAATGTGCTTTTTCCTTTGCACAGATCATTATGCTTTGTTGGTATATCATCTTGATGATATAAGTTTTCCGTATCGTCACAAAATTGATCATTGCCAATTAGGTATGGAATTGCCATTATAGATGATCTTATTCCATTGCCTTGCCCTAGCACTGGGAAGCAATTATTATTTGGAAGACCTGTCATCTGATCAATTTGACATTCTCCCTCTGTAGTCCAGTCTTTAAGTTCATAATCAACAAGTTCCACATTTGTACAGAAATTCGGAGTTATTTTATTCACTTGGCCTTGCATTGTCCATTCCGTCTTGAAATAGAACATTGGATACTTCTCGTCTCCTGGATAACCAAACTCATCAAACACCCCATACCTACACAGAGATTTTCATTGTTTAAATGAACATTGTATTTGTGAACAACTTACTTTTAAAAAAAGTAGTTATTAATTAACTAACAATCTCACTCAAGGAAAGATTTTACTATTAGAAAACAAACAAAAAAAATGAAAAATTGACAAAAAATCTGATAACAAAGTAATTCAAATTCTAAAGAAAACGAACAAAATGTGTTGTTTACAAATGATGAACGAACAAATTTAAAAAGCCAAGTATGCCCATCTCTACATACCTATACTTTGCCCATTCATGGACAAACACCTGTCCTGCAGGTCCAAACATATTTTCCATGCTGTCATAATCTTTAATAAATTCATCAGAAATCTGGATATATTCTCCTTCTTCTCCACAGTCACCTGTTTGAAGAGTATAGGGTGTGTTTCCATAAACTCCACTTTTAATATTAACTTGAATATCACCATCCTGGAACACCAGGCTTTCAACTTCTGTGGCATTTATGTTGGTCCAAGCTGATGGTATCAAAATTCTGAAATTAACTGATTTAAATATTGCCTTGAAAACTACCGTGATGGACACAGAATGGGTAGAGTGTGTGGTGTGTGTGTGTGTCAGCAAATATGGAAACTACAGTTGAAAATATTAATTTTAGAAGGATATTTCATCTTTCTTTATCAGACAATGCTTGTGAATTAGACAATGCCAATTTATAAATAGGAAGAGTCATTTGTAATTTAAGCTCTTTGCTCATATATATATTTATATAATGTTATAAGAAGATTGTTGCGTTTCAACTGATATATTTGTAAAATATATATGTTAGCTTTAGCTGGCCAAACTGTTGGACTAAATGGACTGAATTTGTTTCACGCAACCTGTTGTTACCCGGGCCATTATTTTCAAAAAATCCAGTGGTAACACCGGGCACTTAAGCTAGAATGATATAAATGTTTAGGTCTCCAACCTGACTGAACGAATATATGCCCATCCTCTGGAAGATTTGTATAAAGTTTCACTTCCTGCTTTTATCCAAGTCTGAAGGTTATCTAAATTATATCAAATATTAAATTATACTAAATTCAAAAACTATTATTTTTTGAGAGATTTGCAATTTATGGAACAACTACTGAGATCCATTTTAAAACTAAGATCTAGCTAAATATTTGGTTTTTGAAAGGTTTTTAGAAAGTTCTGAGAGGTATGCACTATTTTAAAATAGTTTGATTTTTTACTTTATTTACTATTTTTACGATTAGTAAAATCGTTTTGAAAAATCATTTTGGCAGTTTGGTATTTTGGTATTTTGGTTTTATATATTTGGTATTTTGGAATTTTGGTATTTTGGTTTATATGTTTGGTATTTTGGCATTTTGGTATTTTTGTTTATATATTTGGTATTTTGGTATTTTGGTTTATATATTTAGTAAGTTGGTTTATATATTTGGTATTTTGGTATTTTGGCCTATATATTTGGTATTTTGGCATTTTGGTATTTGGGTTTATATATTTGGTATTTTGGTATTTTGGTTTATATATTTGGTATTTTGGCATTTTGGTATTTTGGTTTATATATTTGGTATTTTGGTATTTTGGTTTATTTATTTGGTATTTTGATATTTTGGTTTATATATTTGGTATTTTGGCATTTTGGTATTTTGGTATTTTGGTTTATATATTTGGTATTTTGGTATTTTGGTTTATATATTTGGTATTTTGGTATTTTGGTTTATATTTGGTGATTTGGTTTATATATTTGGTATTTTGGTATTTTCGTTTATATATTTGGTATTTTGGTATTTTGGTTTATATATTTGGTATTTTGGCATTTTGGTATTTTGGTTTATATATTTGGTATTTTGGAATTTTGTTATTTTGGTTTATATTTGGTAATTTTATTTATATATTTGGTATTTTTGTATTTTGGTTTATATAAGGTAATTCTATTTATATATTTGGTATTTTGGTATTTTGGTTTATATTTGGTAATTTTATTTATATATTTCGTATTTTGGTATTTTGGTTTATATATTTAGTAAGTTGGTTTATATATTTGGTATTTTGGTATTTTGGTTTATATTTGGTAATTTTATTTATATATTTGGTATTTTGGTATTTTGGTATTTTGGTTGATATATATTTTTAGATAAACAATTTTGCCTAATGTTATAAAATCTAACTTAGGAGTTTACTATGTTCAATTCACAAAGGTACCCTATATAAAGCTTTCTCTGATCAGGGACAAAGTCCTTATCGTTCTAACTTAAAATTGATTATTAATATTTCATGGGTTATTTGAAAAAGTGACTCCCGTATTTTACTACAGAGACATCAAAGGAAATCACGAGAATTTAGCAAAATAAAACAGCAACAATATCTTCATATCTCCGTTTACATGATACCGTTGTGAATCGTACATGGTACGTCCACAGTCCCTGGGAGATTGCAGTTTTTAAGCATGTTTATTTGTTATGAGGCAATAAACTTACTAATGATAGCTTCAGCACTGTCCACCGGTATATCTGGAGATATGGTGACCAGGAGATCTTCATAACCATGATTATTGAAATTCAGACACAAGACTCCTAGGTTGAAGGGTAAAGTAAACATGTAAAGGGTTACCCCCAAAGGATGGGACTGTAAAGACGACTTATGATGGCTTTTTAAAAAATTTAGCAAAGAAAGAAATTAGCTTACAATTGCAGGAAATTATGAATATAAGGAAACAGACAGTATAAATTCCGTAATGTCGTCTCTGAAGTCTCATCATTTGAAGGTAACTTTGTTTGTTACAAAGTTCTGTTCCATAATCAGCAATATTCTTTTTAAAATGTTTTTTGTTTTGTTTTGAATCTTCATCACAGAAACATATCTCAAGAACTGAAGAACCCAGACCGAAATATATTTTTTAAAAAATGTGGAATTTACTCTGTGAGGTTTGGAGCATTTTTAGAACCCAATATAGTTTTTACATTATTGAAAGAAAATCTCACATTTGTTCGCAATATCTAACTGACGGACGGATTTAGAAATTTAGAACATATTGTTCAAATTGGCGAACATAATGATAAGAATATTGAAAAAATAGCTACATCAGGGCCTACCCCCCCCCCCCCCCCCC